ACTATGCATTAGTTGAAATTCATTTAGCCACGCAACAGTTTCTGATGGCAAAAGTCCACTCAAATCTAATGAATTTCATACTCGGCAAGAACAGTAAATGTCAAATGCAAAAAACACACTGGAAACACATGGGACAAAATAGCATTTTTATCTCCTTCCTATGCCCTGCATGCTGGTAAAATCACTGGCAAAACTGAACCGAAAATAGACAAGACTTCAGGTAAAACAGGCCCATTAACAAGTACTCTGGCCTGGGTTCAGCAAGAGAAAAAGGCCAAGGAAAGGAATCTAGAAAAGTGGAATTTATGCTTAACATCTTTGCCAGGGGAGGCCTTCAATAAAATGTTCACTGAAAAGATGGAAGGGCTGATGCTTTTTCCAACTTACCTGATTTCTCTGAAAACAGAAGTTACAAGCCCAGAGCTTGGCCCGATAGTCAACTTGGCTGCAAGGGAAAGATGAGGCAATTAGTATAACTATAGGAACAATTTTACAGCGCAGCTTCACAATTATCTATGCTGGTTCACAGCACTGAGGAAGACACAGAATATCAGACAGTCCAACTTGAATGACAAGAGTTTTAGAGATTCAGACTCTTGTTCTATTGCCAGAAAGTCCATTAGCTCATCCAGCCCTGCCACTTCCAGGCTTGTCAGCATGACGAACCACTGACAGCTCTCTGGAGCTTAGCCTTTGGCAGACAAAGACTTGAATCTAATCTTTCTTTCACTATACTTGGGCTTATCTCAGTCATCTTACTGTTTGTACAGCTGTAGCACACAAGTACTCCAGTCACAGAGCAGCAGGAGCCATTCACCCAGATCCTGCGCAAACACTGAACAAATAGGCTGTTCCCTGCCCCAAAGAGTTTACTCTCCTCAGCCCGTTACGACATCCTGTAACTGCTGGTGCGGTAAAGCCTGGCCGTATTCTTATTTCATGGACTTGACCTCTTCTTACTTCCTCTCACCAGCCTTCCCTGCTTTTTCTCAGCCCAATGCTATGCTCCGAGTATGTATGATCATCACATGATTTTGGGACCGAGATTATTCCTCTTAAATTCTCGGCAAAACTTCAAAGAAAACCTTGATGCTCATACTGGAACTGACCTACAAGCAGTAGGATGCGTAGGAAGCAGGAAACTAAGTGAACGTCACAGTCCAGAGGACAATATCAGTATAACTGGCATCTTTGTTTATTCTAAGTTTCATCATTCACCACAAAATTGTCTGGGATGTAAGAGGACTGGCCATTTCCATATCATCTCTGCTTTAATAGCCTCCCCAAAGGCACTCCTCTCTCTTCTGTTTCTGGCAGCTCTAGTAACGGGCTGCCATTCAACGTATCTCATTAAGCATGCACGGATTTTAACAAACCCACTACATCTAAATGAAAGAGGCTGCCAGGCACCGGGCAGAGAAAAAGGGGAACAAGGAAGTAGTGAAGTTCAGATAAAAACTAGGTACTATCCAGCCTCTCTTAACATCCCCAGCCAAGAAATTCATACCAGAGCGGGTTGAGCACCGCTTTGCAAGTCGGCCTGCTACAAAGCACCGGTTCATACTGCACTGGCGGCAGGTCAAGACGCTCCTTCAGTGGGGTCAGAAGACAGGCCAGGGGGACAACCATCCTTGTGGCCTCCAGCCTGCTGGAGGGCCACACGTTCCAGCTGAAACGCACTCCATCACGCTCCTCATTTTGCTGGATGAACTCCAGGTACGTCGCCATGGGACTGCAGAAGCTCTGAAAGGACATAAGCAACACACGTTCAGACAGCGGTCACCTGTTTGGACAACAGTCCTGCAAAGGAGGTCAGCAGATCAACTACATGTAGGCACAAGACGTTGCAGGACGAAGTCAATACATTATAATGAGTTAATCCCATTATCAAATGAACCATGTGACTACATTAATCTCTTCTGTCCAGTGCTCTCACCAACATCCCAGACAATTAAAACCCCACCAAATCCAATGAAGAAACAAGAAAATCTGACATCAAAGCCAGAATGCAAGTTTTTTTTCTTGTGATCCACATTTAACATCCCAATACCCACTCAGCCTCAGGCTGGCCTCAAGGCAATCCTGCCCGACTCAGGTCAGTAAAGGAAAACAGGTCAGATTTGCAACACATCCTGAAGCCTCCGGCTGAAACCTTGGGGGGAGAGGAGGCGGCCAAGTCTGGGACCAAAACACTCATCACAAATGTCATCTGGTTGCCAGCCTGCCCTGCTTACAGATGGAAAGGAGCACATGACAAAAAGTTCAAAAAAGGTGTTTGGCAATTTTAGACACCCTCTGTGCGTGGCACTGTGTCCCACTCCCAGTAAGGGAGGAACTGAGAGTCCAGCAGACTTCAGAAAAGACATGCTATTCAAGGAGAGATATCCACACACACCAGAGAAGTCACTCTCTGTATTGCCTTACTAAACTCTTCAGAGTAAGATGCAAACAAGAGCTCCCAGGCCATCGTTACCTTTGATGTCTCGGAGAAAGGGAAGGACAAGCCTACCAGAAAACTCACTCGCTGAATCCAGCCCACAAACACCACACAGCACTGGCAGCAACTCACAGAGCCAAGAGCCACGGCACCACGACCCGCTCCAGCCAAGGAAACTCAGAGGTTCACCTGCAGCTGCAGATGCTCCAGGATTACCTTATTCCTGGTCCTCACTGCAGGTGGGAGATTCAGGAGGGCCACAGGCATGAGGAATCAGAAGCATCACCTCCTCCAAAGGAGGAGAAGTTTTGATGTAACATTTCCTACAAACCTCCAAACTCCTCGCCGTTTTCTTTGTCCTTGCTATTAAGGATGTAAATCAAGCTCATGGGCATTGCCCTGCATTTCCGCCCCCACCTCTGGACAGGCAAACGGAAGGGTTCAGCAATACATCCCCACCACAAATGGGTCTGTCAGGGTAAAAGTCAGAGCTGAGCCTCCCTGTAAAAGATCCCACACATCAGAACAGCAAGATAAACACCTGACATCTCAGGTATGCAGCGCAACTGCAGTGCAGATTTACTCCACGGTCCTCCAACTGCAGCCCAGCACCACTCCCCTGCCCCAGGCCGAGCCCCGATTGCTCGGCTGGGTTTGGCATGGGCTGTGGCCCTGCTTTGGGGTCAGGACGGCAGGAGGGGAGGCACCCCCACCCCAACGAGGGTTGTGTAGGGCCGGTTTAGGGCTGGGTGCCTGCCCAATCTGCCAGCCCCCACACCAGTGCAGGGCCCCAGTCCAGCAGCGACCTCCAGGGCCCATGCCCGGTGGTGGGGAGGTCCCAAAGTCCCTTTCCAGGAGAGAACGGACCCTTCCAAAGCCTCAGCAGATGAGTGGTGGTAGTATTCCAGTCTCCATATGGGATCTGCTATAGGGCACACTGCTGACCCCCACTCCTTCTAGCAAAGCTATAGGCAATGCTGCTGCATCCTAGCAGTGCTACAGGGAACATCACGGGTCCCCCAGCTGCTCCACTCGGCACAGCCATAGGGGACACCACAGATCCCCAGCCTTTCACCAGAAAGCATATAAAGGACACCACAGATCCCTAGTGAAGCCACAGGGGCCACCTCTGACCCGAATGCCACTGATCCCCAGCACCGCCATAGGGTAAAGCACTGACCCCCTGCGCTGCTGCAGCTGGCACTGCTGACCCCCAGCACGGCCCCGGGAGACACGGCTGGCCCCAGCTCTGCCCTGCGGGACACCACCAGGCCCCAGCACCCTCAGCACAGCCCCGGGGGACACT